TTCTGTCTCTCTGTATCTCTCTGTCTTTCTGGCGAGTGCATGTGCCCTATAGCGAAAACCTCTCCAAATAAATAAATAAATAAATGAATAATCCATAATAAAAGACAATATCCACACTGAATAGTGAACAAGTAATGTGGACAGGCAATTTATAGGATTTATGCAAAGTGCCTGTGGACATTGAAAGAATCTTTAACTTTTTTTAAGAACTATTTTATTTAACTTTGTTTATCCATTTATTTAGACCAGGGAGGGATAGAGTGAGAGAGAGAGAGAAAGAGAAAACAAGCTGCCAGGTCCAGGACTCAAATCATGGTCGGCCACGTGGGAGTCCAGCACCCTTAACCATCATACCACCTGCTGGCCCCAGAATCTTTCACTTGTATGAGTAAGCCAAGTCCACGAGATTTGAAAATATTTATTTATTTATTATTATAAATTTTTACTATGGGGCATGTGCACTCACCAGAGAGACAGAGAGACAGAAAGGAAGAAATCACCCCACAAGGGGATGGCCATGCCACAAGCCCTTTTTACTCCATTCTCCTCTCAGGATCTTGGTCACACACGCACATGTGCCTAGAGTGAGTTTTTAGCCACTGGATCTAAGACTCGAACCATTGTTGACTACATGGGAGTCCAGTGATGTAAACATTATGCCTTCTGCTGATTCCAAGATTTAAAAATATTTAAAAGAAAATGGGGCTGGCAGGTGGTATGGTGGTTAAGATGCTAGACTCCCACATGATCACTGCAGTTCCAGTCCCAGACGTGATGGCTTGCTTTCTCACTTCCCTGCTCTCTCTCTGGTCAAATTAAAAAATAATAATAAATATAAGGCCAGCAGGTGGCATGGTGGTTAAGGGCACTGGACTCCCACATGGCTGACCATGGTTTTAGTCCTGGACCTGGTGGCTTACTTTCTTGTTTTCTCTCTCTTGCTCTTGCTCTCCCTCTGTCCCTCTCTGGTCAAATTAAAATAAATACATAATGAGGGACCAGCAGTTAGCGTAATGGCTATGTCGCTGGACTCCCACGTAGTCGACCGCGGTTCACGTCCCAGACCGGGTGGCTTAAAACTCATGCCGGGCACGTGTGCATGCATGCCCAAGATCCCGAGAGGAGAATGGAGGAGAAGAGATTGCAGCGTGGCCATCCCCCTGGGGGGGGAGGTGATTTCTCGCTTTCTATCTCTCTTTCTCTGTCTGTCTGGTGAGCGCACGCGCCCTATAGTGAAAACCTCTCCAAAATAAATAAATAAATACATAATGTTAATTAAAATAATCCTTTAAAAGAAAAAAGCAACACACAGTTGATTATATGGATATGAGATCCGGATCCCTTAATCACTAAACTATAGGGTTAAATCATTTTAACAAGGCAATTAGACAGTATCTACAAATTTTAAAATCTACGTGCCCTTGGAGCCAGCCAGTGGTGTGGCAGCTGGATCTCACATGGCCAACAGCACAGTTTGAGTCCAAGTCCCAGATCTGGTGGCTTGAAAGACATGCATGGTATGTGTGCCTGTGTGCCCAAAATCCTGAGAAGAGAATGGAGACTGCAGTGTGGCCATTCCCCCAGGGGCTGATTTCTCACGTTCCCTGTCTCTCTGTGGTGAGCATATGGACCCTATAACAAAAACTGGGGGGAAAAAATGCACCCTTTGACATCATAATTTCACTTCTGAAAATCTGTCTAATGGGAATATTTATGCATCTGTATGCAGCCAAGGATGTTTATTACACCATTATTTACAATGTTCATAAATTAAAAACAGGTCATTAGCTATCAGAAGAGGATGACTTAAATAACCTAGGGGCATCCTTGCATGATGGGACACTCTACAGCCATCATAAAAAATGGAGAGATGTGTGTGTCCTGAGTATAGAAAGTTGTCCTTTAGGTTTAGAACAAAATGAGATACCTTGTTTGTAAATCAAAAAAGACATCTGTGTGTGTGTGTGTGTGTGTACACATACTCATAAATATTTGTGAAGGCAAAGAAAAAGGTTAGAAGGATATGTAACAAGTTAACTTCAGCTAACTAGAGAGGGAAAGAACTCAAATGGGCAAAGTAAGAGAGTTGAACATTTTCTCCTATCTGCTTGGTGTTTAAATTTGATACAGTGGGGGGCCACAAGTGGCATGGGGGTTAAAGGCACTGGACTCCCACATGGCCGACCATGGTTCAAGTCTTGGACCTGGTGGCTTGCCTTCTCACTTCCTCTCTCTCTCTCTCTGATCAAACTGGAAAATAATAATGATAATAAATAAAGTTAAATAAAATAATTCTTTAAGAAAAAGAATTATTTAAAAAAAATCTGATACAGTGAGCTGGTGTTTTTAAAAAGAGTAATTCTTTTTTGAAAAACTTGTTACAGAAACAATATATGTACATTTATAAAATTAAAAGAGCAGCACAAATTAAAAAATTAAAATTTTATCTTCCTACCGGACAGAGATCGCCACTATTTAAAAGCCACTTCTTTTTTATTTTATTTTGTTATTTTATTTTATCATTCTTTTGTTTTAATTTGACCAGAGGGAGATACAGAGAGAGAGAGGGATAGTGAGAAAGCAAGTCCGGGAACCAGCAGTTAGCGTAATGGCTATGTCACTGGACTCCCACGTAGTCGACCGCGGTTCACGTGCTGGACACGGTGGCTTAAAACTCATG